TGATATTGTATTGATATTGTAAGGAGAAATTCTGTCTTGGTCACTTATGGGAGTGAAAGGGTTAAATATCATTGAAAATACAAAGGGAAAATGTCATATTGGTGAATTTAAATCATGTTATCCAATAACTACCTAAATATGACTTGATTTTAGTATTTCAGACAATGGTTGGCCTTTTCCACACTACTTCTAATCAAACACAAATATCATGAAAATAGAGACTGTTCCTCTCTAAGAAATTCCACTTGTACTTAAGCAGAGTATTATATGACAAACTTCAGTAAATCTGGGTGATATGTTCAAGTCTAAAATGAATTTCAAGTAAAATTCATCTAAAACCGGTAATATTTGTACTGAAATAAATCCACAACCAAAGAAAATACTAATCAGGCTAGTTTAAAATTCATTAATTTGAGATTCAAAACATAACAATGACAATGATTTCAAGCTTCCTTCACATACATAAGCTGCCCCTCTGGCTGGTGGTGTTTTCTGAGTAATCCAAGCTCCTACTAGCCAGATAAACAAGAATGCAAAGCATACAAATATACCCAGGGAGTGACTCCACAACAGTATGAGACTAACATGGAATGCAGAAAGGTTTTTCCATAAGTCAAGAAGTCAATGAAATTAGCTAAATTCACCTTAAATGCAGTAATTACCTCTAGCCTGTAGCATGTTCAAAGCCGCCTAAGATCCTACCAGCTAGAGGTACACAACCAAGAAACAAGTGGAAGACTAGATTGAATGCCAAAAAGTAAAATTCAAAGCAAACTGTGATAAAAAATTTAGGAAATTCAATTAAATATGCAAGTACCTCTAGCCAGTACCTCTAGCCAGTACCTCTAGCTGGTAGTATTTTCTAAGCCTCTCAAGATCCTACCAGCTAGAGGTAGAAGACCAAATTTAAAAACAACAACAACATGTACTCTTGTTAAAGTGATTCCAAGAAGTGTAAGACTAATTTGGAGTGCAGAAAAGTAAAATGTGGAGCAAACCGTAAAAAAAAATTAGGCAAAGTCAACTAAGTATGCAAGCTGTACCTTCAGCAGGTAGTATTTAACAAGCCCCTCCAGATCCTACCAGCTAGAGGTTCAAGACCTAATAAAAATAAACAAATGTATACGTCTTCTTGAAAAAAGTGATTCAAAGAAGTGTAAGACTAATTTGGAGTGCAGAATAAGTAAAATGCAACGCAATCCTTCGTAACAATTGGGCAAAGTTGACTAGATATGCAAGCTGTACCTCCAGTCGGTAGTATTTTCTGAGCCTCCTGAAATCCTACCGGCTAGAGGTACAAGACAATAGAAATTTCATCTTGGGGATCTTTCCAAGCAGTAGCAATATCACAAGGGCATTATAGTGGCGATACTATTCATTATGTTTGTTTACCTTTGCAAGCGTAAGTCCTAGCGGCGACAGTGTTAAGCTAAAACTCTGCTGAACAGGAAACTAACATCGATGAGGGTGAAGGAAACAGCCACACAAAATTTAGCGAAATTTCCTCGATTTAAATTCAACAATGTATTCTTCACATGTTAAGCATGTTATAACGTTCATGTCTGGTTCAGTCACTTCGCTTGACTTCAT